CACACACACACACACTCACACAATTTCAGTTTCAATTTGGTACTAAAATCAGGATTTTTTGTACTGAACATGCAGAATGTTGTGAAGGTATCTTGTCAGCAATGATGATATTAACTACCATTATTAACCAGCAGATGGAGCTCTGGTATCACTGACTTACTGATGTTGAATGAACTGCATCAGTTACATTAATTCTTTGCAGAATAACACGTTTGAATGATGCTACTGTTATAATGGAAAGGGTATCAAGTTTGACTCTTTAGCATGTGTTTTTTTTTATCTCATTTACATCACATATACAACTAATAATGCAGTTTTCATTACAGTAACTGCACTGTATACTGCACTGTATACTGTAGTATTACTAAGTAAATACAAAATTAGACTGCATAGAATAATAAATAATTACCATTGTTTGACATTACACTAACAATTGTCTACAATCATTCTTCATTACATTATTTTGTAGAACTATAATTGCACTTTAATTCATTGTAGGTGACTCTTCACTTATTTGTCTTAGATGGTCACGTCTGTAACCACAGAGGTAAATGATTCTTCTGCCAAAGGTTAGAGCACCAGTCGTTCACAAATTGTCATTGTCCTGCAAAAACCACCTCTAAAACATCCACTTTTCATGAGCTAGAAATATAATTTTTTTCAGATACTCCAAGAGGTTTTTAGTTTAATTTTCCTGTTTATTTTCTCTACCAATTAAGGGTTTATCCTTTAGTTTCCTGTAAAATAACCTAATTTGTAGATTCATTGTTCTCTCTGGACGGTGATGAAATATGAGCTCTACGTGGTGTTACTGAGGTGCTATTGATTGTGTAATTGAACATATTGGCCTCATAAATGAATCAGTCTAATGCCAAGTTTGGACATAAATGTCCCAAATATGGAATGCTAATGTATAAAATATCAAACACAAAGGACAAACCACTGCCCTGCAGCCTCTGCCTGATGTCTACATTTCATTAAAGAAATACCTAAATCAATCACAACTCAATGAGTTTACACATTAGGACCACCCACATCTTCCTATGGTATCTTTCTCTCTTCTATCAGTCTTTTCTGTCACTCTCAAGGACGGCCTGAACAGCCCCTCCTGCCACCACTGACACCTCGCCATGGGCCGTGTCTGTCTCCTGCTCCTTCTCCTGCTCCGCCTGCCTGGAGCTCCGCTGGCTCTGGTTGGGGTTGTTCTGGCTGCTCCACGACTTGCTCCTGCTGCGGCTGGGCTCCAGAGACTGCTTGTTCCCACTGTCGTTGACAGAAACCCTCCCCCTGTAGCAAATGCCACACACCAGACCTAAGAAGGCCCGTCTCATCTCGCGGCTGGCCAGAGTGTAAATGACTGGGTTCATGGCGGAGTTAAGCACAGCCACTGCGATGAACCAGTCAGCCTTGTAGAGGATGGAACAGCGCTGCTCACATGCCACATCCACCAGGAGCAGGATAAAGATGGGCGTCCAGCAGGCGATGAAGACCCCAACTACAATGATGACAGTGCGCAGCAGGGACATTGCATGCTCAGAGTTTCTGTTCTTGCTCACCTTTTGGCTGCTGGACTTAACCAGGATGTAGATACGGGCATACAGGACTGACATGGCTAAAAGCAAAACCATAAACACTATGATACAGAAAGCTACGTATTTCTTGGTGTAGAGAGGGAGGATTGTGGAGCAATCGGGGAGGTTGTTCAGACAGTTCCAGCCTAGAATAGGCAAAGCTCCAAGAGATATAGCGATCAACCAGCAGGTCCCTATGAGCAGAAACACTCTGTAGTTCTTGTTGGCATCATAAGGCCTCATTTTGATCATAGTCAGGTGTCTCTCTATAGCAATAGCCAGGAGACTGAAAATGGAGGCACCAAGTGCTACAAACATGCTTCCCTCTCTGACAAACCAGAGAGCAGGTGAGAGCTGCAGGGTCTTCTCTCCCGACAGGAGCAGGTTGACCAGGTAAGCGACTCCAGCCAGCAGGTCGCATAGTGCCAGGTTAGCGATGAAGAAGTACATGCGGTTGTGGAACCTCTGGTTTCTCCATATGGCCACCAGCACGGTGAGGTTCTCCAGGACGATGAAGCTGCATATGATGAGGAAAACGACGGTCTTGGTGTCCACGGTGCCCTGGCTTGTGCCGATGCTGGGCCGGTGGTCCAGTTTCCCTGTGTAGTTGTAGTGGAGGTATATCTGGGAATTGATCATCTTCAAAGCACCGGCTGCTGACACTGGATGTCAGAAGTGAGCAAGGAGTCCAGTGTCAGCAGATTCAGGATCAGCTGCAGTGGATGTGAGGAATGTGGGTGTTATTAGAGAGCAAATTCATAGTTTAATATGTTGTCATGATCTACTAATACAGCAATTTATAGATTTGTCTGATGGATTTTAACTGAATAATCAAGTTTACCTTACTCTTTTTGCAACAAGAGGTCATTAAAACCAGCAAATACCTGCAGAGAACCTTTAAAAATATAGGAAATATATAATCTACACTATACTTATACCTTATACCACGATGCTGTTTGTTTACATAGGGATCTTGGACCACTGCCCAAACTTCCAAAGGCTCATTTAAAAATGTAAAGAATCTTCACCTCAGCTTTTTTCAGACATTGAAATAACTGCATTTTCAATCCCAATTACACACTTTAGAGATAATCGATTACATTTCACAAAGTGTGCAGGCAATCTGTCTATTTGTGCAGACTGGAGCAGCCCCGGTTTCCCCCAGTGAGAGCCTTAAACTCAACTTACCGTAGGATGCTCGCAGGCAGGGTTCAGTTGATAGTTACACGCACACTCAAAGACATACATTTCATTGCTGAGCTGTCGTTTCTCCGTGTTTCCGTGATTTGAAGTTGAACTTTAAATCCGTCTTCTGCCTCGCTGCGTGGAAGAGAGCAGCTCCTCATCTTTCACCGATCTCTAAACAGCGGAGTTTGTCGACGCTTGGCTGGAAGTCACACCTCCACCACCACCCCCCTCTCGTCCCCTCCTCCAACCCGGGCTGGGAGAGCAGAGAGAGGCTGGAGGGGTCAACTCAATCCGCGAAGCATATCACAGCGGGTAGGTATGTGCAAACCCATAATGCTTTTAAGACGTGTCCCATACACGTTAAAACCAGGAATATTAACAAATAAAAAATTTAAAATTTATATATTTTAGCTTTAACAAAATGTTGGTAGTATGTTGTTAGCATTTCTTATCATTCAGGTGTTCTCTACTTCATCTACTCAAGTTTAGTCATTTACCTTTGCAAAACATGGGTCAGAAATTGGTTCATTAAAGTTATTTTTCTTCATTTGCTTGTAAGGCTTTTGAGTCTGAATTAGAATAATTTAAGATAGCTAACTAGCTTGCTTGAATGTTTAATTCATATTAAATAGTTAACCAGCTAATAAGGTAGCCAGCTTCAATTAGTTTAAGCTACTACAGTAACTAGCTACTAACTAGCTAGAGACTGAAAGATAGATAATAGACCATGCTCTCTAACAACTAAGTGCACAGTGATGTTCAGTACAAAATGCAATGCAACAAAAGCCATGTCTCTGCAGATTGACTTACACATCATACATGTAGCTCACTTTAACAAAGGCCTAGAGTCTGTAGTAGCTGATTTCCCCCCCCCCCCCCTTGTTTCTGCTTGACATGGACAAAAAAAAGAGAGAGAGAGTGAATGTGCTGTGAGAGTTTAAGTTAAGATGAGTGCAGCCCCATCCTTTGTTCTGGTCCTTCTGTCGTGACCTCATATCCAGGAAGGATGGGCAGGGCTGGCTGCAAGGAGAAGGAGTCTGGGAGGCAGAAAAGACAGATGATGACTCTTTGAAATAGATGTGGTGAAGTGGGAATCTACACTGCATAGGTTTTTAAGACTAAACATAAAATGACTCAAATGGGACTACAATAATAAACTATTTTCAAACTAAATCCCGAAATTGCGCCACGAATAATGGAGTCATGAGCGTTGTGGACTGCATTTGTGCACTATGTGAATATGACTCAAACGCTAAGAATTTTGCTCTACTTTATACGGTGCCACACATTGAGCTGCTTGCAATTTTCCCCAAACGAAGCACATATTGTACTGTGTCACAGACCAAATCATTAAATAGCAGATCTCTTCCAGTGTCTGTGGTTATTAACCCAGAGGAATGTTTTGTGTGGTTGAATAAACAGCTGTGGTCTGGCATTGGTCCATTAGCATTGTTACAGTCACAATTCTCTGTCATTTCCTGCAGGTCACACTGTGCCAGCAGCAAAGGGAAAATCTCAGGGAAAAAGCCAAATAGTTACTCTGTACCCGCAGCAAATCTGGGACCAATCACACAGTGGGTCTACGTAAAGGCAGCTGGATTAACAGGCCAGGAACATGGTCGGAAAAACCTTGGGTTTTTCAGCAAACTGCAGTGATGCTGGGCGCACATCTGCATTTACATAAACTTTGAGCCAAATATGAAACCATCAGCAAGTACAAACCCATAATATGTGGTTAGAGTGAGTCTATGTCTATGTATATTCATAGACTAAGAAGAAGAGGAGCATGGGTGGAGGGTTTTTTCACTTTTGCAGGACCACCCTCACTAAAATCTTAGACATATAGGCAACCACGTCTTTGGTTTAAGCGAGGCTGAATTTTCCTGTCATGTTTGTCAGCAGGACAGTAATTAAAGTTCTCTATTGCTACCATTTTCCAGCATCAGGAGCTGAACATCTCCCCTAAATCATCAATACACCATATGTGTGATTTCCTGCCATTATAATGCTATATTATTTAAGTATAAACTTACTAGCCGCAGCCCCTCATTTGAAAGTACTGTACTATATAACCTTCTTTCCCTCGGAGTAGCTGGCCTCACAGCTGGCAAAATCATTCCTCGGGGAAAGTTTCCACTGCTCAACCACAGCCTGTCCTGGACCTTATACAGTATGCAGTATGGGTGACATTGTGAGTGGTTGGAAGAAGTTTTTAGATCTTTAATTTAAAGGTTCCATAAGATTCTGAAGCATTTTTATGTATAATTTTTTTGTATTAATCCGTTTTTATTGCTGGACAGCTTGTAACGTAACTTAAAAAAACAGTAAAACTACCTCAAAATTCTACTTAAGTACAGCACCTGAGTAAATGTACTTCATTTCCAGCACTAGAGATTTTTCGATGTTGGCAGTAAACAAATAAAATAATACAGAGAGATTAAAGCAGAGATATTTGACATAAAAATATACCTTTTTTTTATTTAAATAGCTTTGTATTTGCTTGCTGTCTTTAAAAACGTTTAACTAACTTGACTCAGGACATAAACATATCAGAATATCCATTATTAATAATGTAATATAAAAGCAGTGTGCACTCACAAATGCCTACACATATAAAGTATTCGAAGGACATTCATAATTGATTATAATGCAGTTTATGAAATTGGTAATATAATAGCCTCTCATTCAAAGCACAGAACTAATGGTTAAATGAGAATGACCGGATAGGATAAAGATAAGGGCCCTGTGCTTGGTACTATAAGCACATTACAAAATCTATTTGGCCGGCATCACTGTAGCCATTACTTTGCCGGGGTTTGCCCTATTCAAGCTCTCAACCCTTCATTAGAGTGCAAGAGCTGGGGTCAGAGCCGTGGGCAGTGGGCACATCCATGTGCAATTACATGACAACCCTGCCTTTAATTTCACCCTCGCCATTTTGAGGCAAAAACACGCCCCGTGAGTCTGGGCTACAAATCTGAGGCGGACAGTCCCCTCCTGCCCTGTGGCTTTTGTGGCGGCAGTATTTCAAGGCACGGCGGTCTCTTGCATGCAACTTAACAGAACAAGGCTTCGGAGGCATTACTGAGGCATAATTTCAGCTGTGGCACAGTTTAGTCTAGGATCTGCCAACTTTAGAAGGCCACACAAACAGAAATAGGTCTTTAGTTCTGTCACTTCTTTTTGCTGAAGGGATATTTAGTGCTCTTACCTTTAGTTCTTTCACCATAAGTGCAGCGCTTTTAATTTTCCATTTTATGCTTCCAAAGAGGTTAATTGGATGGTTTTATTTAAATTCTGCCAATGGGTCAGACTTCAGTAATACTACAGTGGCTCCTCACCAGACTATCCTGTGTCAAACTGGCTGCCATTACTGTACGAGCATAAATTTAATGGACTGAAATCACTTAACACTGAACATGGAAAAAAAACAGAAGCCACAGTTTTTCTGTAGTAGACTCACTTTGAGGGCTTCCGTGATAATTGCATGGTTCTCAGCCAAGGTAACTGCCTGCTCTGCTGCATGTGAGCACACATAATAGTTTCCTCAACTCCACGTACATGGATATGACAACAAAATATCAGAAATACAGTTTTATACACCATCCAAACCAGCACAACCCAAATATTGTACATTTAATATGGAGAATATTACTGCGATATCACCTTGAAATGAATCTGATATTATAAATGTTTGTGCCACTGTACACCCTATTCATAAAGGGTTTATAATGACCTTATTAATGCCTAATGCATTATTTACTTATGCTTCATTGATCATGTAGACCCTTGATAAGGGCTTATAACTGTAAATCTATCTATAAAGCATTTCTAAATGACTTGATCATTACTGAATTAATTAAAACTTAAAACCCTTATAAACCCTTCATAAATGGTGACTTGTAAGAAGTGGTACATTTTCTGCTGGAATACTAAAATTTACCATTGGCATAATAAAGTACTCAATTCTAGATAGATAGATAGATAGATAGGATAGATAGTGATAGATAGATAGCATAGATAGGATAGATGATGATAGATAGATACTTATTCAACCCAAGGTGAAATTCACCAGTTTTCGCAGGTTCGCAGTATCCACAGACTAATCTGTCCACTCTTTTTGTCCCCCTTTATTAAGATCACTGGCACTGACTTTAAATAATCAGTCATGTCATGAAGGAGAGTTTGGGGCTGTTTGAGTAGCTGTAAGAGAGCCTGCAGGAGGTAGGGAAGGGTTCCAGTGTTTCTGCTGGTAACATTGTTTGGAGCTGAAGTTTGGCTGTGATGAATGCAGGAACATTGTTAATAACGTTGCATGATAGGAGGGACGTATATTTTATATCTTCTGTGGGCAGAACACAATACACAGCACTTTCAGATTACTATTATGTTCGAGCTGTATCTGGACACTTTGACGGCTGACTGAGGTAACTTAAGCTAGCCCCTAATGACATGCACTTAAACTCTGGCGCTGCTGTGTAATCATTCAGGACGGTCTTTTGGCAGACATGGAAGTATTCGATAGATATGGTTTTCACTGGTTGTAATCCAGTATGTTTTTTAATTACAGAGCGGAGCAGGATCTTTTCTATGGAGTTCTGCCATGTTTGAATGCCATGATTTAACAGTAGCCCAGACGGACAAAACATACACTAGCTTCAAGATCATTTTGTGTTTTTTGTTGAGCTTAGCAGCCAACATAGTGGCCAAACCGTGTAATGACATCACGTCATGGGCTGTAAATGGGTGAATACACCTTTTCTGGAGCGCCACAGCCCCCGCAAGAATAGGCTAGATTTCAGCTATGAAAATTTGATCCAATAACATTGACGGAAGTCTAAAAGGAGGCTGCACGATTATTAACCTTTTATCCCCATTCAAGTTGTGTGTTGAGGGGCTAAACTGCAACATCTGTAAAATGCAGACATACATTGTTATGGCTCCAAGAGGCATTTTTCAGTTACAGTATTGTATCAATATGAGGGTGTGAAATCAATTTCATAGTGAAATTAGCTTATTCTGCGGGTGTGCGCTCAAGAAAAGCGTCTATTCCCATTTTACAGCCCAATCGCGTGATCATTTACCACGGTTTGGGCACTATTGTTGGCGTGCTAGCTCACAAAAACAAAATATCTTAAGGCTGATGTTTTTTGTCACGTTCTGGCTACTGTAGATCATGGCATTCACA